TCTCTCTCTTCTATGATCATTCACATGCAGGCAGTGTGACCTTTATTAATTTCAACATTTACAGGAAAACTACTTGAGTTCAGAACAAATGCAAATCAGCAATTGGATGAGGAGATTCTGGTTTCAGCAGTGACAGCTGTGGAGAATCCTAATAATGATGTATCCAGAACAGAGCTCAGCATGATGGAGAAACTTTTTTCATGGCCCACAGGTAAGCTTTGCCTCATAAAAACAATAACTGCTAGTGCAGACATAGGCAATAACTTGTTGAGACAATTGGTGTAAGGGGGATTCTGAGACCGTTTCACTGAAAGCTACAAGCCACCCCTCTGTCCATGGTCAATCATTGGTCAATCCAGAGACAAATTCTTGCTCTTTAACACTTAACGTGCAGTGGACATATACATTGCTCGTTACTGTCTCATAAACTGTGGCAGACGTATTTGTTAATCCTTATAATTTCAATTCATTTTTCATTAATTAGCCATATATATATATATCCTATGGCTGCTGTTATCTACTCCATGTGGACTAAGCTATTGAAACTTCAGTGTACTCCAAAAGAGGAAGAAAAGTTGACAGGCAGGACAGCAAGACAAGAAAGACGTATGTTTATACCTCGGACATTGTAACCAGAAACACAAACTAGGTACAAAGTTTCACATGATGTTGTTCTCGACGGATATTCAGATCGATTAAAAGTGGGAGGGTAAGACACCTATAGACGTAACTTGATGCAAGAGCACTTTACTTATGTGAGATTACCTTTTTCCAGAAAAACTCTTTCCAGTGCTGGACATGCTACGACTAGCCATCCGAAACCCCATCGCCAACAAGTACTTCTGTGAAGAAAACAAAGTGGAGTTTTCTCAACGAATACTGCATTTCCTCACTCCAGAGATGCCACCTGTGAACCAGATGCTAACTTTGCGCATCATCTCCAATGCCTTCGTTCATGATCCAGGCAGAGAGTTAATGCTTATGATGGAAAAAGATATCCTTTCACAATTATCAGATATTGGAGCTCCGAAATGGAAGACTGGAGATGTTGCTGCCATGACAGTCCTCCTGAATTACTCAATTGCTCTCTTTAAGAGAGCTCGAGACTTTGATAGTAAGCTTCAGTGCCTTTCCACATTGGCTTCAGTCATGAAAGATGCCAATGACAAAGAAGCCATTTTCCGAGGCCTAGTTACTCTTGGTACCCTGCTCTATGGTGACAGAGAACTTGCATCGGCTGCATCTGTCTTGGGTTTACCTCAAGTTGTCAAGATCAATCAGAGTATCCTTGATCCACCAAAAGTGGCAGAGTGTGCTGGGTATCTCAGTTCAGTTCTGTGATTTCCATTTTTCTTTCTTGATAAAATAAAATTCTTTCTCAATAAAGGACTTGTTTCACATTTTCCCATTGATTATGAGTCACACAATACATGTGAACTTCAATTTATGGATGCTTAAATATTGATATAAAGGACTTAAAAGTCATCTGGATCAAAATAGCATATGTTTCTTACACTCACAAACATAGTTCCTTGAAAAGATGCCACATTCAATTGGCTTGTTCACAATGTTCACAAACTTCAATCAATTGTACACATCAATGGCCTCTGACAGGAAGTTGATTGTGGTTTGGAAGTCCTCCGTGCACACATGGCATGCAATTCGACCAGTGTTCCTTGCCTTGTCCCTGATCGTTTTCGTCCTATTAATCACTAAACTTGTCGGGTACAAACCGGTGGAATAAGACGGTTTACTACTTAATAAAGTACTTTCACCCGACGTTCAAACAGTTAGGTATGTAAGAGTACAACGTGACGTAGTTATTAACCAAACCAGGAATTTAGGCTTTTGATGTTACAATTGATGGTTCATGCCATAAATGGTTTTATTAGGCATCACAAGTAATCAGCATTCAGAAGGAAAAGGTCAGACTCAAAAATTGCGAATTAATTAATAATGGGACACAGCTCAGAAAACGGGAGAGAGGAAAGAAGAGCAGGTTCACTGGAGATGCCATAATGATAGTGTCTGGAGGAAAATGTTTTTTTTTTTTTTTTACATTTCTATCTGCCTGTGTTGGACTCTTGACTTCTGACCCTCTCAAAATGAGCATAAAATGTTAATGGCTCCTCACAAGGCCCAACGCCTTCATTCAAGACACCTTTCTATACTTCCTAATCCCTGTCTCTCACCATTCATCAGTGATACACAGTAAAAAATAGCCCCATTGAGTGATATGCGGTAAAAAAGTTTTCCTGCCATACCATTTTTATAACTTAACAAATCTGCTTGAGGCACAATAGTGGATCTCAAGATCCACCAAGCCTTTATTTAAAATGAAGCGGCCAACACCTAAGTGATGGCAGAAGATAAATTGTCAAAAATATGGCCTTTTCACATTTCATATCACATGACTTCTTATGGTTGCAAAATGGGCCGTTTAACTGTGTCTCCAAGGGTTCAATATTGCTCCGTTTTGGAGGAGGCTTCCTCTTGCTCTTCTTTTTACCCATAATGCCACCCTATATCAAGCTCCTTCAACGGAGCAGGGTAGGTTTGCTTAACTGCTGATGCCCTCTCAAGACACTGTGAATCTGTTGTTGTCTAAGCCTCAAATCAGAATATGGGATACTCGTGCACCCAGGGCCGGCCCTTGGCACGTGTCCCTACACAAATTCACCAGGGGCGCCAAAACATGTCAAAATGAATGAAGCTATAATGGAAGCCACCCTCAATTTTGCTACAGAGACTGGGAATGCTATCCGTTTCAGCGTCTTGGCGTTGGACGGTAGGGATTGACCGTTCTCCATTGGGGGGGCGACGTTGTGAGGGCACCGACCGGCTAAGGCCGGTCCTGCTGCGTACACCTGCATTAGAATAATTCTATGAATGCTTTTTTTTGAGTAACTTGTATGTGGGTTTGTACAAGCAGATTGCCTCCATAGGAAACATAGAGCAGCCAATATTGTTTTTATGAGACTGGAAATTACAAGTAGATTCTTTCACTTCCATGCTCAGTGGCGTAGGTAGGAAATCGACAAGGGGGCGGGTAGACGCCCCAACCCTACGCCTAGCTCTACCACTCGGAATTTACCTTTTCGAAGAAATCATGAATAAATTTGGGTCTGTGGACGGACATTGTACTTTCCTCGAAGGGGAATAGCTAAAATTTGAATTCCCAAGCACAGTTGAATTATGCTTGTCAGTGGCATTGACCGGGAAGGGGGGGGGGGGATTCTTACCCCCTAACCCCCTCCCCCCCGTTCCCTAAACCACTGTCACTGTCCATGCTTTCCATAGGGCATGTCCTAACCTACACAAAATGCTAAACCACTCGACATATTTGGCCAACCAAACGTAAGCTGCACTGAAAAAAGGTTTGCTGGTACAAATGAAAAATTGCTCCTTACTGACGTATCATCATCGCAGGCCATTTCTGAAGCCTAAATTGGCCACATTATGAAGCCTATGGTTTGTGTATCACTGGACTACGTGCTACTATTTTTCACTGTTTTGTAAAAGAAGGAAGTCAGACGTTAACTTTCAATTTGGCTTCTTAATTTTTCAAACTGACATTAAGTCACTGACTCAGCAAAGTTTTCCGATCACCCCCCTAATGTGATTTCATTTCCTTAGGCGTTGAAATCAGTAGTGAATGACAACTATGAGCGTTCTTCGCCAGAGTAGTGCTATGAATGCGAATCGTTACTTTGTTGGCCAATATTTGGCTGGTGCTTTTTGTGTGAGCTTCACCAGTTCCCCACTAGATCAGAGCGAAGTCGATCCGCGCTCTTGGCAGAGTCAGAATTCCTTGAAGTTGATGTTTTGTTCGATTTCAGGTTTTACCTGTAGGCTTCCTTTAGGTTTGTTCGCCAATCGCCTGAAAACATGGAAAGATGGAGAGGTCGTGTGGCTTTGGTAACCGGTGCCAGTGCAGGCATCGGAGCTGCTGTCGCCCTTNAGCAAAAGCAGGATAATTAGTGATTTGAACAGCCCATGTTTGGCCACCTTATTCTGCCAAATGATGAATTATTTCATGAAAGTGGGCTGCAAGTTTGTCAATCCATACATTCTCATGTTGCACTGCATGTTATTAACCAAACCAGGAATTTTGACTATTGATGTTACAATTGATGGTTCATGCCATAAATGGTTTTTATTAGGCACCACAAGTAATCAGCATTCAGAAGGAAAAGGTCAGACTCAAAAATTGCGTATTAATTAATAATGGGACACAGCTCAGAAAACAGGAGAGAGGAAAGAAGAGCAGGTTCACTGGAGATGCCATAATGATAGTGTCTGGAGGAAAAGGTTTTTTTTTTTTACATTTCTATCTGCCTGTGTTGGACTCTTGACTTCTGACCCTCTCAAAATGAGCATAAAATGTTAATGGCTCCTCACAAGGCCCAATGCCTTCATTCAAGACACCTTTCTATACTTCCTAATCCCTGTCTCTCACCATTCATCAATGATACACAGTGTTCCAAAAACATGCATTTCCTTAATTGTAAAACTTTTTCAACTAAAAAAGATTAAATTTTATTTTATATGTGCACAATGAATATAAAAAGGCATACCAATGACTGCCATGTCAAATGTTTATTTCTTTTTTGGCTATCATGCTATTTTTTTTTTATATTAAAATAATATTTGAAATCTGGCTTAAGTTCTTCAGGCACTTCATATATTTTTCAGGTGGTTGGTTGTATATTATCTGGATGTGGTCATTTGTGGTTGCAGCAGTAGTAGTCAGTGGAGGTTGTGTAGGTATTGAGTGTCTGCCCTCTCTCCATTGACATACTACTGCTACAGACCACAAGTCACATTGAGTCCATCAACCATTGATCAATCGACCTGCCCTTCCATTGAAATTCATTGTTGCCAATGATTCTGATAAAATATATTTATAATTAATGGCCAAGAAATAAAGTATCGTTATAGAGTTTGCACAAAGTTTATTTAGGTTTCTAGAATGAAGTAGGAAAAGTCCAATCACTTTGAAGGGATTGGAGCCCCTTTCCATTTCCAATGTCTTGAATAATTGTTGAATGCTTTTCTTTGGCAGAACCAAATTGGATTAAATTTAGGTCTATTGAAAACATATCTACTCACACACTGTGGAAGTTTCATTTAAAAAGTAGCCCCATTGAGTGATATGCAGGTAAAAAAGTTTTCCTGCCATACCATTTTTATGACTTAACAAATCTGCTTGAGGCACAATAGTGGATCTCAAGATCCACCAAGCCTTTATTTAATATGAAGCGGCAACACCTAAGTGATGGCAGAAGATAAATTGTCAAAAATATGGCCTTTTCACATTTCATATCACATGACTTCTTATGGTTGCAAAATGGGCCGTTTAACTGTGTCTCCAAGGGTTCAATATTGCTCCGTTTTGGAGGAGGCTTCCTCTTGCTCTTCTTTTTTACCCATAATGCCACCCTATACCAAGCTCCTTCAACGGAGCAGGGTAGGTTTGCTTAACTGCTGATGCCCTCTCAAGACACTGTGAATCTGTTGTTGTCTAACTAAGCCTCAAATCAGAATATGGGATACTCGTGCACCCAGGGCCGGCCTTTGGCACGTGCCCCTGCACAGGGTGCAAATTCACCAGGGGCGCCAAAACGTGTCAGAATGAATGAAGCTATAATGGAAGCCACCCTCAATTTTGCTACAGAGACTGGGAATGCCTTCCGTTTCAGCGTCTTGGCGTTGGACGGTAGGGATTGACCGTTCTCCATTGGGGGGGCGACGTTGGGAGTCTCTGCACAGGGCACCGAAATAGCTAAGGCCGGTCCTGCTGCGTACACCTGCATTAGAATAATTCTATGAATACTTTTTTTGAGTAACTTGTATGTGGGTTTGTACAAGCAGATTGCCTCTATAGGAAACATAGAGCAGCCAATATTGTTTTTATGGGACTGGAAACTACAAGTAGATTCTTTCACTTCCATGCTCAGTGGCGTAGGCAGGAAATCGGCAAGGGGGGCGGGTAGACGCCCCAACCCTACGCCTAGCTCTACCACTCGGAATTTACCTTTTCGAAGAAATCATGAAGAAATGTTGGGTCTGTGGACGGACATTGTACTTTCCTCGAAGGGGAATAGTTAAAATTTGAATTCCCAAGCACAGTTGAATTATGCTTGTCAGTGGCATTGACCGGGAAGGGGGGGGGATTCTTACCCCCTAACCCCCTCCCCCCCGTTCCCTAAACCACTGTCACTGTCCATGCTTTCCATAGGGCATGTCCTAACCTACACAAAATGCTAAACCACTCGACATATTTGGCCAACCAAACGTAAGCTGCACTGAAAAAAGGTTTGCTGGTACAAATAAAAAATTGCTCCTTACTGACGTATCATCATCGCAGGCCACTTCTGAAGCCTAAATTGGCCACATTATGAAGCCTATGGTTTGTGTATCACTGGGCTACGTGCTACTATTTTTCACTGTTTTGTAAAAGAAGGAAGTCAGACGTTAACTTTCAATTTGGCTTCTTAATTTTTCAAACTGACATTAAGTCACTGACTCAGCAAAGTTTTCCGATCACCCCCCTAATGTGATTTCATTTCCTTAGGCGTTGAAATCAGTAGTGAATGACAACTATGAGTGTTCTTCGCCAGAGTAGTGCTATGAATGCGAATCGTTACTTTGTTGGCCAATATTTGGCTGGTGCTTTTTGTGTGAGCTTCACCAGTTCCCCACTAGATCAGAGCGAAGTCGATCCGCGCTCTTGGCAGTCAGAATTCCTTGAAGTTGATGTTTTGTTCGATTTCAGGTTTTACCTGTAGGCTTCCTTTAGGTTTGTTCGCCAATCGCCTGAAAACATGGAAAGGTGGAGAGGTCGTGTGGCTTTGGTAACCGGTGCCAGTGCAGGCATCGGAGCTGCTGTCGCCCTTCGATTGGCGTCTCTAGGTCTTCGTGTTGCAGCCTGTGCCCGAAGAGTAGAAAGGATTCAGGTTCATATCCTACATTCATCATCACTCACTTGCTGGTTCTCCAAATATATCTCTCGAAATATATACACTCGAGAGTGGCCTAAAAAAAATTTACCCACATTTCGAATAACTGTATAACTGAAGGAAATTAAGTCACATGTTAGCATTACTTATTTATTAATACTTGATGGGATCTTTTATCTCTTCATAACATTTTGGTTCACCGGAGATGTTCAAATAGGCATCCACCACCATTTATACATTTAAATTATATTAATGACAAAATTACAACGACTGAAAGAGTGGGTACTTTTTTTTTTGGGCCACTCTGTATATCTGTACATCGTTGTTCGAGTAGGAACTGGCCAAGCAAGTTGAAGGTGAAGGCGAAATCCTGGCTCTGAAGTGCGACCTCACCGTGGAGTCCGAAATCTACGCCATGTTCCAAGACATTGAGAAGAAGTGGGGCGGAGTCGACGTGTGCATCAACAATGCCGGCTTGAGTTATAATCATACCCTCTTAGGTACAACCCTCGTATGCATTCCTGGCGTTCAGTGGTGTAGCTTCGGGGGGGCACGTGCCCCCCCCCCCCCCACTTTTCAAGAAAAGAAGGAATAGACCCAGAAATGCATGATAGTAGTATCCAGCGCTGTACCGAGGTTATTTGGTGCCCTGTGCTAGATATCAACCCAACCCCCCCCCCCCTCCCCCTCTGTACTTCTCCAGCTTCCCCAATACCAACAATACATTAAGTAACAATTCCTATGTTTAATTTTGCTTAATGCAGATAATTTTCAAGTTTCTTACATAAGTTTTATTCATATTTTGTAGCAATTTGGCAGACAATCGGCGCCCTGTGCGGGCGCACCGCTGGCAGCCCCGTCGGTACGGCTCTGCCTTTCACTCCCCAGTCTCCCCATTATCTTCTTTTCTGCCGTTCCTGCTACATATGATCCTTACCCAAATCCCCTCTTCCTTCCGCGCGTTCCCTTGTAGTCTCTTTCATTCCGACTTTCGTTTCCATTACCTTATGAATTAGACTGGGTATTTTGAGAATATTCTTAAAGCGATGGCCTTGTTTTTGGGTTTCCTTTTCCAAAAATAGGTTATTTTTGCTGAAGAGTGAGCAGTGCAAAAACGATAACCTTGTACAAGCCATATTTTCTCCTAATCTCGACAAAGCATTCCTTTTCGGTTGTTTTACAAGGCTGTGCACTATACAGTCAAATTTTAAGAGAAGAAAGAGGTACCTAGGGGGAGATTTGGGAGGTTCGGTTCAAATTCTATTAATTTCGATTAATCTTTATTATCGTGATTGTAAATTTAATTGATTACTTGGTTGATGAAACAAATCAATTGACAGCCCTAGAATAAAATGATCTCTTACCTTTTCAAAAAATTTTGATTTCTATTTCTAATTAGATGTACACAACGGTTAGAAGAACATCCACTCACCGGCGTAATTCATATGAGCAAACGTAGAAAAATGAGAAAATTTTAAAGTTTCATATGAATTTGCTCATTTTCCTTCGTGAAAAAAAATTCAAAACGTCTGTGACCTGACTTCAATTTACTGACTAATTCTTCTTATCAGTCCTCTGGGGCATACAATCATCTTGAACTAATGTTTGATCATATACAGTACTTTTAACGGAACATTATATTATGGAGAACAATGTATTTCAGCATGAAAACTCATCTAATGACAGTATTGATGGAAATATTACAGTCGATTAACAGATTCATATTCACTGACGAAAATTTCTGCTTGAAACGTGCATTTTCCTCGATTACGAGGAACACGTTTTTTGCTACCAATGGGCTTTTATTGTAGAAAATGCATCATGGAGGTGGGAAGGGGGGCGAAAATTCATTTCATAATGGAAATTCAGAATTGTGGGGTGCCCTTCTCATCTGAATGGAAAAAATAATGCAGAATTTGTATTGTTTCAAGTGATTACGATGAATTCGATGATTGCTGATGAATTGATGAATGAATTTTTTTAATAACTCGGCAGCCAATCGGCACCCTGTGCGGGGGCACCGCTCGCACACCCCTTGTTACGGCACTGACAGTATCAAAGAGTGCCCCCCCCACTTTGTCATGTGCCCCCCCCCCCCCTCACTTTTTTCATTCACGCTACGCTTATGCTGGCGTTAATCTAAATTTAAGTGGATTGTGGCGTAGGAGGCAATCCATCTCTTTCTCGACTTCCTACCCACCTGACTTCCATGGCGATGAGTCGTTCACCTGCATTCTCTAAACATATATTTATATGCAAAGACTGACGTTCCTCGGTTATGGAACATCCCTCAGCAAATTTCCGCACGGAACCCTTTTATCATATTCGTAAGAACCTCTGGTTTGCAGCATACCTCCAGTCTTCCCCAAGAAGGAAAGTTACGTTCGCCCATTGGCCCCCCCCCCCCAGGCGCAAAACCGACCATGGGTCCCACGGAGGATCCACCGACCCAGGCTACGATTGTCCAGAACCCCAAAAAGGAAAGTTACGTTCCCCCCTTGCCCCCCCCCCCCCCCCCTCCTCTAAAAAAAATGCAATGAAGTGGAAATTGTCTCTGGAGTTGCATGCATTCTAAATCATCATCATCATCTAAATCGTGATTGGGAACTTGTAAGCTTTGAGGTCAATACTCAGACTGACGATTTCGATTTTGATGCTCGTTTCAGAGGGCTCAGTCGAGGAGTGGAGACGCATGTGCGATGTAAACGTTGTGGCATTGTGTCTTTGCACAAAACTGGCAGTCCAAAGTATGAGGAAGCGAAATGTGGATGATGGCCATGTCATCAACATCAATAGGTATCATTGCTCATAGGCCCTGCATGTCTGCTCGAAAAAGTTCGGGAGGTGCTAACAATCATTCATATAATTTCCAATGTCATCGCTTTTTTCTTGCAGTATTGTTATAGCAGAATGGATGGATTAAGACCGAATAAGGAATCCTTGAAAAAAAAAATCGATCCAAGAAAGGGTAAATAAAGAGGATGGTTCCAAGCTATTGGCTCAATAAGCCTTTATTAAAGACTCTTAGGAAAGTCGAAGAGGAGGAGCGAAAAGGCAGGGAAAGCTCAACTTAAAAGTGTGAATTTAAATTATATAAATAATTATTAATTGGATGATATCAATGTATGTATAGTATATATGTATTTCAATATTCTGTGACAAAATTCAAGATCTCAAAAGGAATTGAATTATAGAATTCATGCCCTCAAGAGACAATGCACTTATTTTGAATTTGAGTAGGTTTTTAAATTGCCTCCAGTGAAAAGTGGGCGTGATTTTATCCTTGTTTTTTTTGCCATGCTGAATGGAGAAATTCAGAAAATTGAATCCTGCATGCTACTGATTTTAAGTCAGATCTGTTTTTTGTGAATTTCTAAGCGCTTTCTTGTTTAAATGTAGAATTTAGGACAGACTTTGCAAGAGATGATATGCATGGTCTTTTGTAACTCATTAGAAATTTATGTGATCAGAACACTGCCCATAGGGTCTAAAACTTCCAGCTGGATGGAATGAAGGGACAGGTGTTACGTCACGCAAGAGCGTCCGAACGGGGACATATCCAAAGTAATTACGGGAAGTTGGGGCGAGGCACGATTTCCCAAATGTTTCTGCTCAGTCGGAAGGAGAAAGCAAGAGGATGCTGAAGATACAGAAGTTTCGGGAGAAGAGTGAAGAATTGAAAAATCGGACGTCTTGACGGTTTTGAATTGGGGAAGGGAGGCGGGCATATTGAGCAAACAGACTGAAGACGGGAGACTTTCGCCTAGCTCTTGAATCTCCCTAATTTCTCCATTTATTCTGTCCGTGTTTAAAGAACACACCACACCTTTTCCTCCAAGGCAAGCCATATAAAAGTGCGTCTGTTCAAATTTAAATCGGGACGTGTCTTCCTAGGGGCGTGAATCCTATCATCAATTTTTGGATCCTGATTTCTTATATAGATTTTTTTTAACGTTGTTAATATATTCTATCTTGCCTTTTTCTATATCCCCCCACCTTTTATTTTTTACTTGTGCTTCCTGATTTTCTGTTGCCCTTATGAAAGCTCATTGCGCCAAAAGCTTACTCCTGAAAACGAAATCTTATTTTATCCTTTCTCTGACAGAGTTTTTCACCAAATTATAAACCTTTCATTGTGTTGTGCTTTCTAGCATGTCCGGCCATCGAGTGCCAGCTTCAAGAGTAGCCCATTTTTACTCGGGCACGAAGTTTGCAGTGAGTGCTATATCGGAGGGTCTCCGAAGGGAGCTGCGGGATCTCAAGTCACACGTCCGAGTTACAGTAAGATCTCCCAACTCTCCAATTTCAAGATACTCTGATTCCCAAAATCAATAATGACTCGCATCCGACAGCAAATCAGTCCTGGATTTGTTGAGACAGAGATGGCATATAATATTGATCCCGATGGGGCGAAGGCGTTGTACTCCAGCATCAAGCCACTCCAGGTCGATGACATGGCTGATGCCATCGTCTTTGCTCTAAACTCCCCTCCTTACATGGAGGTAAATGGCATTTCTTGTAGAATCCCCATGTGACTGGTTCAACTCTACGTTTCTTCAGTTGGGTATATTGAAAGTTTTGATTTTTTAGGTGAACGACATCTGCATCCGCCCCACTGAGCAGAGTCAGTGAAATCGAGCTGACTCGATGCGTGAGGTATCGGCGCTTCGCTGCTCGGTCCTTTCATCGTTCCTGGGTGCTGGTTTTTAAGCTTGCAAGCGGGAAAGAATACAAATATCATTCCATATGAATATCAATGAGTGATCTGTTGAAATAGAAAGAAAATGTGACGATCTCCTGCAGTTGGGCCAGAGGTTGC